GCTGCCATGTGGAGTTAATATCCAAATATTATTAAGAGTATAATAATGTGTCAATTAAAAAAAAATTGACCTGTGCAAGTCAGAATTATTTTTTGGGGGGGTATATAGGGATGCTAAAAGTTCTGTGCTTTATTTATAATCGTCTTGTAACGTCCAGGGGAACACGGGATCGTTGCAAAGAGAAGAGTAGTATAGATCTAATATTAAAAACACACCTTCTTTAAAAGTTGATTATTTTGTTGTTGTTGTGATGTTAACTGGGTGCTTGGCTAAAATTCAATTAATCTTCACAGGGGAGTCACGTCTTGCGTTTGTAATGAACTCGCCGTTTGTAAGCCCATTGTGACGCAATGTGACAACTTTACAAATACCTCAGCCATTGAGCTCTGTCCGGACGAGACGAGCGGCGGGTCAAGCAGGCCATTAGAGTAGCGTGAACAGTTCACCATGGTGACTCGAGCGGCTTGCGGATCTCCAAACGCCTTCCGAGTTGACAAATGCTCCGGTCAGAGACGTTTTGTAGAGTGCACCTGTGTGGGGGTGAACACACACGCACGGGGATTCCTTTGGGAACCTCCACAGAAGACGGAATGAAGGGAGTGGGATGGAGGGCCTAGTTGGAGGGTGACAGAAGCCAGCGAGGGTTAGGATAGAGATCTGTTTTTGTTCGGTGTCGTACAAGTTTAGGCTGGGCATTGTGATCGTGGCGATCAATAATGAGCGCTCCTCATACTTTAATGCATGTAATTAGTGGTTACATGTGGAGGTGGGGGGGGGGGGGGGGTGATCTATAGGCCCACTTCTCTCCTACCTGTAATGGTGGAGCAGCCTGTAGGTAGCGGTGATGTGTTTTTAAATACACGCCAATGTATAGTATTAATTTGCTTTGATGTGCGTTTATTTTTAAATCATGCTCTGCCTTGGACCGGTCACAAGGACAAGTGTTGCCACTGAAATTCCTATTTTTCCATGTTAGGCCGTTTAACTCACACAAGACAGGTTTCTGTGGTGTAAGGATTTGGCTCCTGCTGTTGCACTCTAAATAATACAGTTATGACTCCAAGTCTGGCTGTTTTTATATTGTTTGTTTCATCCGTCTGATTCTGCTTGGATTCTATATTCCGTTCATCATGGGTTAGCCCTGATTGGCTTGGTCGCATCCTACCTCTAAAATAATCCGAATTGTGTCAATGAGGGCCTCAGTAAGTTTGCAAGATATCACACACGCACTAAACAAATATAAAGAATTTATCAACAGAAGGAGGCTCTCGTGGCTTAGAGGTTAAGGTGTTCGCCTCTTTCAAATGTCCCGGGTTCGAATTCTGAACTCTAAAATTGTCTCCTTACACCTCCTTTCCTGCTCTCTAGCTATGTTCTTTCGTCTGCTTTCGTCTCCACTTTCTGCCCTCACCTCCTTTGCCCCCACTTCTGGGCCCCGGACTCTTTCTGCAGCCTTTCTACTACTACTACTTGGCCCCTTCTTGCTGCTGTCTTTCAGCCACATCCCTAATCTTCTGGTAGGAAAGATATACACCTAGCCTTCTCGGATAAGGTCAAAAGATCTCGGAGATCCCGTGTGCAAGTTGCGCACGTTAAAGATCCCTTGGTGGTATGAAATCGATAAGAGTAGGCTTTGACCTAATAATGAAGTACGTCGTCGAGAGTAGCCTAGTGAAAAAGAAATACATATTGGAGAGTGCTCTGACCATTATTTAAATAGTATTCTTGGCAGGACCCATTTCATGTTTTTGCTCTCTGCTATTTCTAT